TCTAGGCCCGAAACGTCAGCCTTCCTGCTCCTCTGATGCTGCTTGGCCTGCTGTGTTCATCCAGCTCTACACCTTGTTATCTCAGATTCTCCAGCATCGGCAGTTCCTACTATCTCTGAAATTTGTGCTGCCTTGTTTCAGGCTGGTGCCTTCAATTGTTGTGATTCTATGTCTCATAACCAATCCCTCTGCAAAGTGAAACAATTCAATCTGAAATATATCAATGATCAAGTCAGGATCCTGAAAGAAAGGGTTTATGCCTTGTAACAGAGCCTGATAATTGGCTAAAACTATATAGACACAATATTACAATGACTGCACTTCATTGACTAACTGTAAATTGCTTTGTGTGGTGCTATGTAAATGCAAGTTCTTCCTTTTACATTTTACTCTTTAAAATTCACTCTCTGTAACTGCTGTGTGAGTTGCGTACAAATCCTATTGTGGCTTTAATTGAAAGTTTGTTTGGTATTGTAAAGTATTTGAAGATTTATTGAATGTTAATTTTGCTACATCTTCCGGCAACTGTTAAGAGAGTCCTTCAGTGAAGTGTTTGAAGTGAAGTGTTTACCCACAACGTCTCTGAGGCCACATCTCCTGAATTAGTAACTCTCGTGATGTGATGTGAATGCCACTGGAGTTGCACTCAAGGTAGATACTATATGAATGAATCATCCCAATGACTGAGTTACCAGCTCAGTTAACTAGCCAAGCCTGCCATCTAATGATGACTGTGTGCAATTGCATCCATTTAAAAACAGGCAAAAAATAAGGAACATGGTTGACTGACACCTAATAATTAAGTCAGGCACTTCTGAATAAAAATGGGAGCTATTTCCTTCCTGCACATTGAAATCATTATTTGCTTCATTGTGTTTGGAAGGATATTTATAGTTTTGCTGTAATGAGCATCCCAGCTGTGTTACAAGCATGGTATACATGCGAGAAATGTGCACATTATAAATGAGATTGGTCTCTTAATATGTCTATGTTCCTCTTCAGGCTCAGTAACAGGCGTGAGGAATGTGTCAACTTATTGTGCAGTGTGTAACAAATATGAAATGGTGTTTAAATAGCCCAAGGGGACATTGCACTGTGACCCAGAGCTCAATGCCAGTCTCCATTACCACCTCAAATTGCTTTGTGCCAAGTTTTCAACAACTCTTAACCACAAACATCACCATCAACAATTACTGATGTAAATGATGAATATTACTCAGGAATAACTTGCCTGGTCTTCCAGATACAAGGATAGAATTTTTCACAAAATCAGAAATTTGCTGGAAAAACTCAGCAGGTCTGGCAGCATCATGTGGAGAGAAAGCAGAGTTAATGTATTGGGTCCAATGACCCTCGTTCAGAACTGGATAAGATCGTTTACACTCACTGAGCAGGGCTGGATCTCACAGTGTGCACCCCCAACAGTGCAGTGCCCCCCAACAGTGCAGTGCCCCCCAACAGTGCAGTGCCCCCCAACAGTGCAGTGCCCCCCAACAGTGCAGTGCACCCCC